TTGCAAGTTTAATGTCTTGGCTCTGAATAGTTCACATCAAATTCTTTGTGAATTGCTGGAGTTCATTCTTGTGAATTTTTATGGACATTAGTTGCCAATATGTTTTCAAATTCATTCTTTCTGGTAACTAGGATGGTTTAAGGTGAATATATGATGAGTATTTTGAATCCTTAAAACAGATAACTATTTGTTACCATATTTTTTAGAATGTTATTTTTTGACATTTATAAGTAGTGCTGAAACTTGTACCATCCTTGTTTACTATATGTGACATTACAGTGTAAATATTTGCTTTTACTATATTCTCATGCAATAATGGCAGTTCAGGTTGGTTTACTTTCATATATTTATAAAGATTGATTTTTTCAATATTATCTTTCTAGTTTGTCAGTATAGATTTGTTTTTATTTTTATTCTTATCAGTTATTTCAGCTTTCTATTCTTTTATTTTTTTTTCTTAATGAGATTAAGTATTATTAAAAACCAACCTTAAAAGTGAAGCTTCTGAAACTCAAGGAATTCACATAAAACCTTATCATCAATCTTCCTCTCTATAAGTAGTATATATCCACAATATAGTATTCACAGCTTAAAGAATGTACTGAAAGACTTTTAACCTGCTGTTGTCTGGGTAAAGTTTCCGGATTGATTTTTTATGCAATAAAATATTTTGAAACAAAAGGTAACTGGTTGAAATTTTATCAACTACAGTTCAGCCATTTTATAATTTATGAAGTGCAGTTAACAGGCATGTGTCCTTACATGAAACCAGAGGCAGTAAAGGGAGTAGAATTATTTCAGCCATTCTAAAGTGAACTTGGCCATCGACTCTCCTAGGCCAAATGTTGCAGCTCATTGAAATTAAAAAATGTATGACTTATAAAAAGTGAAATTGCAGACTCGGTTTGGCTTAAAAAATGTTGCAGCTCATTGAAATTAAAAAATGTATGACTTATAAACAGTGAAAGATTAGATGAGGATGTTTGGCTCCTTAATGGTCTCATATCTAGGATGACAGGAGTCAAGTGTGCTTGGTTGGTGTGCATGGCAAGCTGTCGATTACCAGGTACTGTTGTCGACAAGCATGTGATGGTGCAGTCAAACTTATATAAATGATTTTATGCCATACAATATTTTGTAGCAGTAATGGATTGCATGAGAATATTTACTTAAAAGTAAATGGAGAAAATTCAATTTGGATTATTGGAAATCTTGTGGTAACTTGACTGCACCACCATCTATATAAAAAAAAAAATCATTTACCACTGTATGTGATAGCCTTTGGCCATGGATATTTGTCCTTTATGTTTAACATTATTTTTCTTCTTGTCAAGTAAATAGGTAAACAGTGCTTTGTATATAGTGATTGACGGAATGATGTTATCAGAGGAGATGAATTTCTGACAAGTGGGTCAAACACATTGAGCTATAAATGGGATGCATGTACTCTCAGGAGATGCTGGTACTTGTGCTGTTTCAGAGACTGTGACAATCTTAAAGTGTCTGCTTAGAACTCTTTAAGAGCATCATTTGTGTACGCATCTCCTCTGGCTTAAAGATTCCCCACCATTAAACTTCTCGACTCACTTCAGGTAGGAGAATGCGGGGGTAAGGAAGCAAATGGGAAATCTCAGGTGGAACACTTAACCAAGGCGAGTATTCTGCGGCAAAAGTTCAGGTCGAGCCCCCTCACCCTGCATGAAGATGTGATTAAATTAATTCATTTGAAACGTGGGCTTGTGTACTGGGTTGGATATTTTTAATAGTTAAAGAAACAAAGGTTATTGGGGTGAGGGAGGGGAAAACATTCACTTGTTCTGTAGGCTGCTGCAATATGCCTCTAATTTGGACCACAGTTTATTCAAGTGACAATAAATGATGGACAGGTTTTGAACATGCCAGGCAATAAAAAGAATGGATGTTGCTTTAGGTCTTAATAAGATACAAGTGTATTAATTCTTGAATGGGGGCATTATAACCAGTAATGTTGTTTTGAAGTACTTGACTGCATTGTGAGGATATAGCTAATAATATTACACAGCAATATGAGTAAATGTTGCCTCACGCTTTCCAGATCATGAGGTAGAGCACAAAGGTTAATGTTTGGTTCAACCATACTCTTGCCATGTAATAATATTTTGGTGTTGTTCCAAGTGCCTTTTGTAAATTGAAATTGTTAGAAAATTATATAAATTATAGGGAATGTGTTTAAGGTTATTTTCTAGGACTTGGAGGCTAACTGGAATTTCATAAAAAAGGCAGTGACAGTAATGTATTATTTTTTAAGCAGTACCACTAGAATCTCTGATGCTGTTAGAACTTGCCTAGCAGTAAACAACAATAGCCCAGCATTCATCTCAACCACAAGCCTACAATACTACAACACAAATATGTTTTACTACTATCTGTGTTGAACATCATTTCTCTTTGCCAGCATATAGCCAATCCATAAATAAGGTACACAGTGGTGTTCATCTTATGCAAGAAGCACAGATGACTCTGCTATGAGGACATGAACCTTTCACTACTGGGGCAAATGGTCACTTGGTAAAAAGCTCATCTTGTATTAGTGTATCCATTTGTGAATTTCTAAAGAAGGAGACATCATGACAATAGGATTCTAGAGTGCCCATAGCTTTGTCAACTGGGCAGTCACTCTTAAGTGAATACTGGTGTTATATACATTATACAGTATGCTACTCCCATGTTGCTGTTCATGCCATTACTGGAACTTTGTCTAGGTCTAGCTAATAATGTCTGCTAAACTAGGCAGCATAATTTGTAACTTAAATGGAAAAGAATATTAGTTACTCACATTTCGTTGTGGTATATTTGAATTCGTCATCATACCAAGTGTATCACCACCTAGTAACTCTTATCAATTAATGTACAGTACACTCAAAGTTTTATCTTGAATGTACCCATATCAGTGGCCCAAGTTAGAGATTTGTATATAGTGTCTGTCATACTGATAGCTGTCTTATGCCATAGCAGCAATAGTGGTTGTATGTAGTCTATTTTTCACATAGTGCTTTTTCTTTCAGTAAGGCTAAATGTAGACAATGTCCACATTCAGTAATGACCCCAGTTTTTTATTTTCTCTAAGTAGGAGTTTTGAATCATTGACAAAACATTGTAAACACATGGCCGTGTTATGTGAGGACAGTGATAGGAGTGAACTTAACAGCAGGAGCATCTTTTAAATTTTAAGTTCTGAACTTTTTTATTCTTCCATCTTTCACAGTTAAATAAGGATTGAATATTCTTGTATCACTGCCATTTTAAGGTACAACTTTTTTCTTTGAATATACCATTCTTCTAAAAAAAAGCAATTTGTGTATGTTTGTTAGTATTTGGAAATGTGAATAGATAATTTCTGCAAGAGTTCGGTTTTAATACTTTGTGTTAAAGATGAGCTCAGCTATAGAGAAGGTGTGGGGTACTGTAGATGGTGAATTTCACTACTTCATCTGTCCCCTAAATATATTTTGCAAATACATCAAGTTCTTTATAAAATTGGTAGTGTCATAGTTTTTCATTCACAGTGTTTTTATTTGTCTACACACATGAAGTATCCAGTACATAGAATATAAGAGGGACTTCCATGCTCAGTACTTACCCATGAACTCCAATCATCCTCATAATGGTTATCAACACTTATTGTTATAATACTTTTTATCATCATATCACAAGTCTATAGTAAGTAATGTAGTAATAATAATGAAAGTGGAATAGTCCTGTACAGAAGGGAGTTGAAGCACACAATAGACCACCAAGACAGAGTTTCTCTGCAATTAAGTTGCAGTAACTTGGGAATCCTGTCCTCTGTTAGCCCTTTGGTCATTACTTCTACTCAAACCTCTGTTCAGTCCACAGAAGCATGTACTTACAACCCAAACCCCCAAGAATCCTCGAATGAATATCCTACACGTACCCAGTCCTTAGTGTTCCATATTAAACAGACCTGCCCTGTACCTAGGAAATGTAAACACATTACTGGTTTAGATTAATACATTAGTGTTCAGAGAAGGCCATTTTTAAATTGTGCAACAGAACATTATGTTCCCCCCACTCCTCACTCTCATTTGGGCCTGTCAATGTATACTTCAAAGACGATAATCATATCTCCTCACGATCTTCAATCTCGAACTTGATTTCCATCTCAAACTTTCCATTCCTCTAAATGAGCCATCGCCCCATAAGTCCTGACCAATGTATGAGTGTTTTGAATCTGACTAGATCTATGACTGTGTTGATGATGGGGTTTCAATAAAGCTCATATTCCTGCTTATAATAGAGGTGCATGAGTCTTGTTGAAGGACTTAAGTAATACTCATAATTGCTGATCATGCTGCAAATATTCCGGACCATAGGTTAGCCCCCTATTTGTCTTGTACACTGACCCTTTGTGTATACCATTGCATTGTCATAAATACTTACCAGTAGAGGTAATACCACTATGATCTCTCAAAAATTAGGAGACACCTGGTTTTCGTTGTAGCTTGTATGAAAATGATAATAGTTCTATTTGTGGTAATTGCTCTACAGAAACATTATTAACTCTCACCTTTTGTTTTCACGGTCTCCGCTGGTGTGAAAGTATTTATGTATTGTATATCCGCAAACCACCACCCACACACAGTCTTAAGGAATAAGAATGTGACATAACGATGATCCTTACCCCTGCAATGCCAACAATCCCATACTCATCACATGCCTACCCCATCTTGTGTACGCAAATGTAGTGAAGATTACCGAGTACGCGAACGTAGTAATGATGACGTCACTTTACCGTTTGAGACTAAAGTGAGGAGGATCAAGGAATGATATTTCTGTAAATGTGTACTGTATTTATAATTTATCGTCCTCACTGATTCCGTATTTGCCAAAAGAAAATATTTTATAATTGACTTTTGTACATAATAAAGTTACTGTAATCTGATTAGAAATGTTTTCTTATCCCCCTAAATGATGATTGGTTACAAATGAAAACGTCTAAGTACAGACAAGTTTTAGAAGGTACATTTTATTTATCGAAAATAAATGCATATAGGAACACTTGAATTCCAGTAGACACTGAAGTATTGCATGTAAATGTTCTGGAAGACGCAGACATGCATTACATGCTATTCTTTAGACCTTGCTCTAGTCCATCACCACATACATTAATTTGAGTCTGCAGTATACCTTTTTACATACTTATCCTGTGACCATCAACATAAGTAGTCATTCTGGAAGGCTTCCTGAAATAATATTGAACTCATTTGATGATAATATTTATTGATTTAGAACTTCAGTATTCCAACTGTCATTGCCTATTCTGGAATGGAATCAAGACAATTATGTACCTGACAAAATCAATGGAGACTTTTCATCAAGTTTAAATAGAATATTAAAATATATAAATAAAAGAAACTGAGGGGAAACTTTAAATATTGTAAAACTGCTAACTGTAAAATCCGATATTACTATTACTAAGTATAAAAGGTCTTCGTGAGCTTGTCTTCTACCAAGATTTAAAGGTCAGGACCAGTACTGATTACAAAAATTCTATCGCCACAAAATACCCTCTACTTTACATTAATTCATACATCGTTCGTTCAGAGTTAGACGAAGGCCCGTACCCAAGATTTTTTTTCTCAGAACCCCGCAAATTATGCACGGCAAAGTTCGTCATTTATGGTTATTAATTGGATGCCCGAAAAGTCGCAAATACTGATGGTGTCTGATGCCTCTGTCGATTGTTAGATAACGCTAATGACCAGTATCTGTTTACGTGCAGCTATTTGGGAGATTTTCATCGGATTCGACAGATGGGTTTTGAAGAGATTATTGAGTATAGGCCCAAAGTTGCAGGGCAATTCTAATGAAGTTCATTCGCATATAATGTTTACACGGAATATATATGTGTCCGAAATACGCGTGAATATATCCATTACTTAAAATGAATTTCTATTCAGCATAAATGTCTGTAAAATGTGGTGTGAGGAACTAGGAGTATACTGCCCCTGGAACTAAAATATGGTTCAAATTGGTAATTTGTATCACAAAATTAAATCCACATAAGCGGGCATAATTGGCGAGATAGAGATGACGTCACGGGCGGATACTCGGTAAACACGCAGTTTTCTCGCCTGTGACGGCACGTTTACATTTGCCCTCCGATGTGTTCGCCGATCATGGGTAGATAGGCCTTAACAGCAAAAGCAACTAATAAATCGCATGTATAATATCATTCAAGGAATGAGATGTTACTATTAAGTGACAAGCACGTACAAATAAAGACGTGATGACTAAAGTACACTACAAACATTTCTTACAAAAAGACAACTCTTTCTGTTTGGCAGCAATTTAAAATCCTATATAATAAGAAAAATATATCTTCGGTCTCTAGATAGAGAATTATATTATGAATTTACTGTGGCAAACAATATTCATGAATTACTTGCAATCATAAATGTTTAGTTTTTGAAAGATATTTAACACTGTTTGCAGAGGTGGACTGATTTAGAAAGTTTACTTAATCTACGGTCGGATCCCCAACTGCGTACAAACGCCCACACGCATTGCTTCATGAAAACCCAAAATACTATGAATAGGGTCATTGTTGATCTGTCGATATCGCCTGACATCTTTACTCTCTTCGACAAAAAAGAAAAGAAAAAAAATCCAAATGTCAACATATTGGCATTTGTACACTATATCGAATCTGACCTTTGATTGTATGGACACGCTATATATCTATTGTTTCTATTTAACTAATATATCGCAGGGATTACAGAACATTTTATTAAACTATGACTGAATTTTACCAATTCGGGTTTATATATTAATGGAAAAAATTAGATAAAAAATTCAACTTAGTTTTTTCTTTTTGTTCCGACCCTTTGTATTGAAGAAATCTAAATTCGTCAGTCACCACTACTCATTAAGGTAAATGAATATTTAACAATATAATATATTGAAGGGAAATATAAATCGACACATGCACAAAATACATAGATGAAAATGTCAATTACGACTTTTCTTTATTAATCTTGAAAAAGTAGTGGAGTAGTGGTTTCCACATGGCCACGTAAGCTGCTCTGTCACGTCCGATCAGGGTTTCCACATACATGAAAAGGCTGCAAAAATCTTATATGAGAATGGATTAGTTTCTTAACCTACATGTAATTCACCGACTCGAGTTCAAAGGCTTCTCTAAATAGAGGAATGCTTAAAAAATAACTCTAGCAAGTGTATTCATACAAACATAAGCTATGGCAAATTTGGTTCACGGATCCAACACTTTTTCGCTGAATCAAGGGACATACATTTTGGTCAGACATTACAATTACCTGCAAATCGTATACAGGATATTAATTAGAAAATGAAATTCCTTTTATATTTCAAAATGGTTAAAACAAACAAATATGCTAGACCTCAAAGGTCCTTTAGCACTAAGATAAAGCACTGTGACAAAAATGGTTAAAATGAGTTTGATCAAAACAAAATATGTTAGATGTCAGAGGTCGTACAGCATTATAGGACAGTATAATATAAAGAAGAGGAGCAAATGGGATGAGGCTGGGATTAGTAATAGGGGGAAGGGGAAGGGGATTATGGGCGACAGGCGATTAGATCAAATGAAGGCTATCTATGCATCTGAGCAAGGAGAACGAGATGTCAAAGGAAAAAAATTGGGGATTTCGTGAGGATGCACAACTGGTTGGAGGATCGGGGAAGAGAGAGGTAGGGGCTGCAAATAGGACAACAGAATGTGTGAGACTGAAAGAGGGACCATTATGAAATAATCAACAAGTATCAAAATGGGTATCAGAGAAGGAGGAGAACCAAAAATGAGACAAGGGATCAGGGGAAGGAGGTGAAGGATCAGGAAGAGTTTCAGGAGGGGGAGGATCCAGGGAGTCACCTGAACACCAGGAGGGGGGCAGAAGGGAAATTAGGGAAAGAAGGGATTGGTCAGGTGGAGATGGGAAGGATGGGGTGTGTTGGAGAGAATGGGAACTTGAGGAATGTAAAGGTGGATGTCGGTACTTTGAATGTAGAGGGAACTGGAGTAGAGAGATTGAAGGGTGGATGAGGGAGGAAAATGGTCTCTTGGGTCCTATTTAGGAAGTTTTGAATGTCATCTAGTTTCTTGAGGAGGATTGGGTGTGGAGGTCTGATAGACGAAGATTTTCTTATAAAAAGAAGAGGCGACAGATGTCCGAGGAGCAGAGGAAGAGTAAAGTGAACGTTTAGATTGCCTCATGCGACAGGTAAAGTGAGGTGAGGTAGGCATTGGGGAAGTGGTAAATATTGGAGTATCTGGATTTAGAATGGTAAAGTGTAGGGAAGAATGTTGGGGTAGAACGTTTAGAATGCCTGGTGCGACAGGTAAAGTGGGGTGAGGTAGGCATTGGGGAAGTGGTAAATATTGGAGTATCTGGATTTAGAATGGCAAGAATTTGGCTGAGAAAGAGACGAGGTAGAGGGGAGATAGTAAGGGATAAGGGAAGAGATACAGAGACATTTAAGAAGGGAGAGAAGCAGAGCAAAGGACAGCATTGGGGTACGGAAGAAGAAAAAAAACTCGTTGGGGTGCTTCCTGCCTGGCAGAATGGCCAAAGTTACTGACACTGAAGGGGAAGGGTCAACATGTTCCAGCTGGGTATTAATCTCCACCAATATACACTTCCTGGGTGAGATTATGCTTACAGAAGGTAATCTTTGCAATAACAGTACATGACTTCTTGCAGCCTCCGGGGGGAATAGTGTAGCACTGATGTTATAGTCAATGAGGTAAGCAAGCAGGTCATTTTCTGATCAATTAGCTGGGGAAATTGAAACAGTTTCAGTACAAGTATCAAGGGAGGAGTGAGGTTGGGCAGAATAGGTTTACAAGTGAAGGCCCACAGGGATGATAATACTTGAACATGAGCTTGGAACTCAGATTTAACCATGACAAAGTGTGAATATTTGGAATGACTGCAGTAGATAATTTTGCCTACTTGGTTTTGGAGACACTTTAGGAAGAGGGGGGCATTATTTTGGGGAAGGGGCTGTAGGGAGCAACGTATTAGAAGAAGAATCAATCCTAATTACCTGGGCTAAAAGACTATCCTGCTTACTTGGGATAAAAAGAGTATTCAAGTAGGTTTACTGGACTGGAAGTAGTATAAAGCCTAGGATGGCAGAATGAGGGAGTGGTGTGAAGTGAAGTAATGCTGCAGGGAGGAGGACAATAAGGATGAATAGTAATAAAGGGGGGAAGAGGTACAAAATGAAGAAGACTATACAGAGCAGGATATGGAGTGGATATCAAAGAGAGGAAGGGATGTATTCTGAAAGTCAAACTAAGGTATTAGATCTCAGGATGAATGAGCAACTTACTAATCCCAATCATCAGACCATGCAACAACCAATTAATTTCTCTCAAATCCTGCAAATGTTTAGACGAATTAGCATTATGAACAACAATTTTGTCAAAATAGCAATCAGCATTTTAGAATCCAAACATTACTCACTCTCAAAATGTCACAGCTGAACTAAATAAAAAAGCACCCGGAGGGTGACAGCAGTACTCGTTAAAACATGTAAGAACATGTTCGAGTTGCGGCGGCTCGTGCCTCCCCTCCTTCTACGTTGGGCCAAGAACTACTTGAACACCCTTGGTACTGCTCGGAGAAATCTAGATATTACTCCATTCCAGCAATAAACAGGATGTATGCTCCTTTATCCTGACAATTTCTTATCCTAAATCTACAAATGAAGATAGTGCCATCTAATTATTAAGCAAGGTGTTCTTTAGCTTCGCATGATTACTTAGGGTAAAAGTATTAGTGTCATCATGAATAGAACCATTATTGCCCTCGTACATAATGTAACTAACCAAAAAGGGATTCACAACTTCAACATACTCATATTGCAAGAGAAACCAGTGGAATACGTCACTTGAAATGCATACGAATTACAAGGAGAACACTAGCCTCACCTGTATTTCCTTTGTTGCATACCTCAGGTTTCACAAAACTCGCCATAGCTTCAATAACCAGTTTACCATAGCAAGCACATGTCACAAGCAACACCTTGAAAAGACAACGTATTAGAAGTATGAACATTATGAATAGCATGGCAGACATTAAACATGTTTCTTTATCTTTTTATTCCATTTTCTGAGAATCGGACTGTTTAAAAGTTCGTTAGTTACCACTAACCAAACAGTTGAAAATATATTTAGAAGCATAACATTTTAATGAAAAAAACACAACAATCTACATACACACATATGAGAACATCCTAAATGTCCCAAGAGCTGGGAGATTTCTAAATACATATAAAGCGGCTGTAACATGAAAAAATAATATAAGAATAGATTGCCTTCTTGACCTCCACCTTATTCACCAATTCGAATAGATAGGCACCACGAAATAAGTGGAATGCTGAAAAAAACTCAAGCAGGTGCTAAGGCAAAGTAGGTTTATTGGACCTATTAATCTGCACAACGGATTATAGTGGTTACATTCCTTTGCGCAAATACAGAACCAAGGAAAATATTTTTGATCCAGCATCACAATCTAATACAAATTATGCAACAAAATATATTAAATGAAAAATCCCTATACGATGTTCAAAAGATTTATGTATATTCTACCAAAATCCTTAACTGAATTCCTTATTAACCATTTGATGAGCAATTAAGCAATTCCAAATCTGAAAGATTCAGTATTAAAGTATGTAAGAAGGAATTTAACAATGGTAAGATGCTATGAACACAGTACCTATACATATCTGAAGTTTCCAGTTTTTCGGTCACCCAAAAATTGGAATGAAACAGGTAACACATTCTGAATTTGTAAGTTTGAAGGTGTCTTGATTCAGTACCATTACTTCCATTAGAAAATAAAGACTCTAAGACCGTTTCTTGGAAGTTACAACACTTTATTCAGGGGAGGGTCTTGGCAGAGGTGATCCCTACTACTTGTCTTATATCAGTAGCTGTGACTTGAGATAATTACCTACACAATACTTCTAATTCTTAACTTTACAAATCCCTGAATGGTAGGCAGATCCTGTCTTTTGTATACATATTACTCCTGTTCTACGTGTATGCCAAATGATGGCATGCATAAAAAATAAGGCAAAACAAGTTCCCTTATGTACCGACAAGAATGCTGGCATACCAAGGAACACAAATAGGTCAACTTTAATTAGACATGGCATTTAAGAGAAGAAACGTTTCAAGCTCTTATCAACAGATTCTTCTTTAATAAGCATAAAGCTACCGTACAAAACTCCATATTACAGTACTATCATGTGTACATAGCATAGTCACAAAGCTGTATGAAAATAGCAGATCGAATTATCTGCGTGGTAGGAAATAGCAATGGAGTGTCTCCCTTGTTGTTTTCCCTTTTTATCAATGTTATCATACAGACTGTAGTGAATCAGCCCTGTGTTCCGTTGGGCATTTCGTAATGCTATGAAGAGCACAATGTCAACAGAATGGTCAGTAGTGCAGCACTTTTATTCTCATTGTGGCGCACAAGCGCTACAGTCCCGAGAGCTGGAATATCTAGCAGACAACACAAACATATTGTAGAATGTCAAGGAATATTTTTCAGTATGGATCCTACCATATGGGCTTAAAAGACCATTGGAATGCTAGTGGGCACTTTTTGACTTGTATTTTATTATATATTCAGCAAAGCAAAGGACGTTACATGTGAAGAAACATCTATCATGAATACTAGCGTAAATAAAAGTTATAGTAAAGGGGTTCAAACAAAATTTAAAACACAAAAAGCTGGAGTAGGTCAATATTTATATCTGAGCGTCACCATAATGCTGCAGACCATTCCGTTCGAGTGTATTCTTTGTGGCGCACATTCCTTAATAGTTACTGGTAAGCTCTAATATATATCTCAATGCTGATATCCCTCACATAAAAAGAGTGCAAGGCCACAAAAAACTCGGTAAATGTCAGTTCTCTTCATACTGTTATGGGGGAAACAACACTTCTGAAAGTTTAGTGTCTATCCACATCTAAATAGTTTATGGATGTTGGCCATATTCAACACCAAGACTATTTAAAACAGTTCATGTCGGACTCGGAATCTATCTTTTCCTGGGTAATGTCGAGACTGGAAAATCACCTGTATATTTCCTCTGTCTGCATGAATCCGCTTCACTATTTGAGATTTCATAGGCTTCTGCAGTCTCCAATAAGATGGGAGTCATCATATGAGTTTATAATCCAGATGGCCAATTAGAAGCATGCCTATAGCAATATACAAGTAAGGGTGGAAGCATAGAATATTTTTTTCATACTCCATACCTGACCGAAATGGTATTCTGTGGTAGCATACTGCAAACATCCCACTCTGTAAAGGGATCTTTGGACAGAATAGAATAGTTTGACCGTTCTTTAAGCCAAACACTGTATTTCCCTTACCAATTACCATGTCTCCCTAGCTAGTTGCCGTGTTTCCCTAACTGATCACTGTTTCCTTAGATGATTGCCATGTTTCCGAAGCCTATTGCTGTGTTGGCCTAGCTGATTGTCGTGTTTCCCTAGCCAATCTTCGTGTTTCCTTAGCCGGTCACCATACTTCCCTAGCCAATCGCTGTTTCCCTAGCTCATATTTCAACAGCAAGAGGTTTTGCCAATCACTAGTTTTAACATAATACATAACGCATACCTTAATGTGGAGGTTACAGACGAGCTATGGCAAGGAATATGTGGAGACCGTTTTTTGTCATGGAGATGTTTATCTGAGACATAGACTGAGCCCTGTGGTGGGGACCATTTGCCGCTGTCTCTCTCCACTTCTGCTCATGGTGTCTGTATGATCGGCTGTTAAAGAGTAAACAATAATAATTAACAGTTAAGTGGTTAACCCCTTTGTGCTAAAGGCACTTACATGCCTTCCAGTAATCACTAATTACTTACCTATCCGTCCCTGTGACATCTTGTGACTGTGTTTTCAGCTTGTATACATGCTGTCATGGTTAACTCTACCATTTCCATGGAGCTATTGAGAGGCGCGTTCATATCTGTATGGAACATGAAAGGTTATTAGGTTGGCTGTGGCCATCAAGGAATCACACTGTTCAGCATTCTAAGTTGGATACCTACTCTCATCTTGAATCACTCATGGCAAAACCACAATAACCAGCAGAAGTTGATATTTCTGTGCAAATATGGTTAGCACAAGTTTATTCTGTATATGGTTAGATCACATCAGATCAGGTCTGATCATATCAGATCACTTCATATCACATCAAATCAAGTCAGATCACGTCACATATCACAACAGGTCAGAGTACACCAGATCAGATCACATCAGATCAGGTTAGATCACACCAGATCAGGTCATTCAGATCAGGGATCAGGCATCAGATCAGAATCAATCAGATCGGCATCAGGTCATATCACATCAGATCAGGTCTGATAACATCATATAAGGTCAGGTCACATAAAAACGGTCAGAGCATATCAGGTTAGAATACATCAGATCAGGCCATGTCATATATCAGGTCAGATTACATCAGATCAGGTCAGAGCGCATCAGATTACATCATATACGGTCAGATCAGATCAGATTATATGCCAGGTCAGATCACATCAGATCAGGTTAGATTACATAAGATAAGGTCAGATCGCATCAGAACAGGTCAAATTACATCAGATCAGGCCACATCAAATACGGTCAGGTCAAATCAGATCAGGTCAGCAGATCAGGTCAGATTACATCAGATCACTTCATATCACATCAGATCAGGTCTGAATACATTAGATCAGATTTAGTCAATCACATCCGATTAGGTCACATCTGTGAAGAAGTTGAGGGTGTATGGATGGTGGTGAATGAAAGGGGACTTGCTTGAGGAGTTTATTGAGGAGGTAAAGGTGTGACCCCCGAGAGTGACCCCACGCCCCGAGGGCAGAGAGTGACCTCCTGCCCTGTGACTCCTGCTCTGCTAGGTCTTGGTTTGCTTCTGGTGCTCTCTCCTCTCTGCCTGGTGAGACGTCCTTATATCCAGCAACTCCTTGTCCTGCTGGCGGAGGTGCCTCGTACCATATTCTTGGGTGTCCATTCTTCCGGGCGTGACGGAGGGCTTGGTCGCCGGAAGAGAAAGTCTTGGGCAGGCAAGGAAGGAGTGAACAGCTGTTTCCTCTGGACTGAGAGAGGAAGGCACATCTTCCGTTTCGACCTTGGGAGGACAGAAGTGTGTTGTTGACATCAAAACGGTCAGGTCACCTAAGATCAGATTACATCAGATCCGGTCAGATCGCATCAGAACAGGTCAAATCACACCAGATCAGGTCACATCAAATACGGTCAGATCATATCAGATCAGGTTAGATTAAATCAAGTCAGAGCACAACAGATCACATCGGTCAGGTCAAATCACATCAGATCAGGTTAGATCACATCAAATATGGTCAGATCAGATCACATTGGATTACATCAAATCAGTTCATATCACATCAGGTTAGGTCAGATCAGGTTAGGGCATATTGTAGTGATTCAGCAGAGCAAACAAAGGTATACTAAAGTTTTGTTCAAGAAGTCTTAATATTTAAAGTAGTTGGCAGGATGGAGGTTCACAGAAAACAGCATAAAAATCATACAATTTTTATTAATAGAAAACTAAACAAAACCGTGACTAAAACTCAGACCAAAGACTAAAGAAACGAAATAAAACAAGTAAAAATAAAACTAAAAACAAGTGAAGGACAAGGCAATTAAAATACACTGAACCAACTTATAAATAAAACACAAGTAAAAAGACATAAAGTGAAATAAAACTTAATCAAAATGAAACTGAATATAAATAAAACAAATAAAATTGACTTAGTGAAATAAAACTCAAGCAAAGTGACACTGAATATAAATAAAACACAAGTAAAATTGACTTGAGACTGAATATAAATAAAACAAGTAAAATTGACTTAGTGAAATATAACTTAAGTAAAATGAAACTGAATGACTAATAAAGCATGCAGAAAACTTCGAAGTGACACTGAACTTAAAAGAGCAAATATAAAACTGAATAAAAATAAAACAGCAGAACTTTAAAACAGAACTTAAATAAATAAAGCACATAAAAGAAAAAAACGACAAATGAACTAAAAATCATAAAAATGACTACGACGGTCCAGCAAAACAAAACCTCAAAATAACTAAAAATAAAACAAAGCCCATCCAATTTAACTAATTAAAACCTTACGTCCTTTGGCCGAAACAACACTCCACTTAACTTTATTATGGAGACTCGGTGGGCCTTGCGAGCCAACAACACGGGTTCCAGAGATCGGACACTCTGCCCATCCTGATGTAAACAAAGAAAACCTCCGCAGGCGATTGTCGAGTGTCTGGTTTCGTTATCACTAAAAAATAATCTTTCAGTGCGTTAAAATGTTTTGGTTCGCTGGACCTTACAATTTTAAAGTGAAAATCAATGAAATATAAGTATAAAAAAAACTCATACACAATTATAAATCCGATAAAACAGACGAAAAATAATAAAAAACGGGGTGTATAAAATGCAACATAAAAACAGATAAAAACATACAATAAAACAATAGAAAGAACTAGGTTAGTCTTAATTAAACGTGCTATACATTAAGAATAAAAGAATAAAAGAAAAGACCGTTAAAGCAATATAACGAGAACACGTGGTCGCCCCGAATTGTTGCTCCTTGCGGGGACAAGCTCGAAACCAAGAGGGGTAAAGGGGTAACTCTTAAAACAGGTCACTACAATATCACTTCATATAAGATCAAGTCAGATCACATCAATTACATCAGCTCAGGTCAGATTACATCAGATCAGGTCAGGTCACATCAAATATGGTCAGATCACATAGGTAATTTCACATTAAATCAGGTCAAATTACACCAGATCACATATCAAGCCAGATTACATCAGATCAGGTTAAGTCATATATCAGATCAGATCAGGTCAGATCACATCAAATCGTATCAGAACAGGTCAGATCTCATCACATCATATCAGGTCAATCACATCAAATCAAGTCAAATTACACCAGATCAGGTCTGATCACATATCACATCAGATCAGATGATCACATATCAGGTAGATTCATCAGATCAGGTCATGTTATGTATCAGGTCAGATCACATCAGATCAGGTCACATCAAATACGGGCAGATCGCATCAGATCAGGTCAGATTACATATGATTAGGTCATATAACAACAGATCACATCGGTCAGATCAATTCACACTAGATCAGGTCAGGTCAAATCAAATCATAGATCAGATTACATTAGATCATAACTTATCACACCGTTCATGTCAAATCACATCGGATCAAGGTCAGCACACATCAAATACGGTCATATCACATCAGATCAGGTCAGATTACATCAGAGGTCATATCACATCAGTTCAGGTCAGATTAAATCACATCAAATCAGGTCAGATTACATCAGATCACATCAGATAGGGTCAATCACATTAGATCAGGTAAGATTTGACCTGATCTGATGTGATCTGACCTTACTTGATCTAATGTGATCTGAAGTCTGATGTGGTTTACATAAAATCAGGTTAGATTACATCGAAACAGGTCAGATTACATCAGATCAGGTCAAATCACAACATATCACATATCGGGTTAAATCACATCAAATATGGTCAGATCATATTATATCAAGTCACAGCGTATCAGATCAGGTCAGTTCAGACCAGTTCAGATCACATCAGATCAGGTCAGATCACATCAAATCAGGTCAGACTGTTTCAGATTAGATCAGCTTACAAATTAGATAAGGTCAGATCACATTATATCAGGTCAGATCAGGTCAAATAACATTAGGTCAGGTCAAATTAAATACGGACAGATCACATTAGATCAGGTCGGACTGCAACAGATTAGGTCATATCGCAACAGATCACATCGGTCAGATCAAATCACATCATATCAGGTCAAATCAAATCATATCAGATCATGTCAAATTGAATCACATCAGTTCAGATCACAACATATCCCATCGGTCAGGTCAAATCACAGCGGATCAGGTCGTCAAATCAAATGTGGTCAGATCAACTTAAAGCGTCAATTACATCGGATCAGAATATCAGAATATATTAGATTACATCAGATCAGGTCAAATCACATCACATCTGGTCAAATCACATCACATCTGGTCAGATCACATCAGCTCAGGTCAGATCACAGCACATCAGGTCAAATCACATAATATAAAATCAGGTCAGATACTGTTAACACACCCTGAAAATTTCAGGTTCCTGGGATACTTAGGTGGCGAGATATCAGTCCCTGAAAATGGCTCAAAGTGAGATTTTTAGTAGATTCCAAAAAATTCTGTCCAGTTTCCAAACCCAAAATCAGAAAAAAATAAAGAAAATGGTTCGATTTTTGATAGAAAATGCTTTGTGGGTGTTAAAAACCACATTTCAGGCCTGTATTTACAGAATTATTAATTTGGTAATTAGGAAGGCCCCAAAAAGTGCCACGCCCACTTTTACGCAAATTGCCACAGTAGCCATTTTTGATGGACAATATCTTGCAAACCAAAAGAGCTATTTGAGTGGAATTTCATACTGATGTGATTCGCAGCTGATGTGATTTGCTGCTGAAGGATATTTAGACATCAATTTGATTGAAGATATTTTTAAAAATCATACAAAGGGCATCAAGACACAACAGAATCATACGTAAATAATGTACACTAGCAATGTACAGCTAATATACACAGCCAATACATAGGATTGACAGACGATTAATTTCATCGAATTTCACTTGAACCAAAACAAAACAATTAGGGAAACCTACTACATATATTTAAACAATACAAATACTAAGCATTTATGTCTGATGTATTCTGACCTAAGCCGATGTGATCTGCCCTGATCTGATGTAATTTGGCCTAATCTGATGTGATCTGCCCATATTTGATGTGAACTGATCTGATCTGAAGATTTGACCTGACCTGATGTATTCTGGCCTAACCCGGTGTGATCTGACCTAACTTGTGATCTGACGTGATCTAATGTAATCTGGTCTAATTTGATGTGACCTCACCTGATCTGTTGTGATCTCACCTGATCTGATTTAATCTGACCTGATTTTAAGTAGTCTGTTTTTATCTGACCTGATACGATATATCTTATGTGATCTGACCGTATTTGATGTGACCTGATTTGATGCGATTTGACCTGATCTAGTGCGATCTGACTTGAACTGATGTAATCTGGCCTGAATTGATGTGATCTGCCCTGATATGATACATGATCTGATCTGATGTGATCTGACAATATCTGATATAACCTGACTTGATCTGAAGTGATCTAACCGTATGGGATGTGACCTGATCTGATGTAATCTAATCTGACCTGATATGATCTTATATGACCCTACCTTATCTGATGTGATTAGATATGATATTATTAGATTAGATATGACCGGATATGATATAATTTGACCTGATGTTCTGATGTGAACTGATCTGATATGATTTTATTTGACCCGACCTTATCTAATGTGATTAGATCTGGCCGATGTGTTCTGTTATGGCATGGCCTAATTTGATGCAATCCGACCTGATCTGATGTAATATGGCCGAATTTCATGAGACCTGACCTGAAGTGATTTGACTTGACCTGATGTAATCTCACCTACTCTGACGTGATCTGATGAAATATGACCTGATGTGATCTGACTTAATATGATGTGATCTAACCTGATATAACGTAATTTTACCTGATCTGATGTGTTATGACCGGATCTGATGTAATTTGACCTGTTCTGATGTGAACTGACCTGATAGGATGTGTTCTGACCTCATCTGATGTAATCGGACCTCATCTGATGTAATCTGACCTCATCTGATGTAATCTGACCTCATCTGATGTGATCTGTCAGTATTTGATGTAACCTGACCTTATGTGATTATATGATCTGATCTGACAATATGATGTGATTTAACCTGATCTAATGTAATTTGACCTGATCTGATGTAATCGGACCTAATCTGATGTAATCTGACTTCATCTGATGTGACCGTGTGTTAATGTTACCAGAACTGCTGGGATTTGACCTGATCTGATCTGATTAGAAGTGATCTGATCTGATGTATTCTGATATTATATGACCTGATATGATGCGATCTGACCTGATCTGATATAATCTGACCTAAATGTGATCTGACCTGATATGATATATGAACTGATATGATGTGATTTAACCGTATTTGTGACCTATTCTGAACTTAAGTGCTTTGACCTGTTCTGATATGGTCTTATGTGATCTGACTTGATGTGTGATATGAAGTGATCTGATGTGCTCAGACCCGATCTGATCTGCTGTGATTTGACCTGATCTTATGTGACATGACATGATCTGATGTGATATGACCTGACCGATGTGATCTAACATGATCCGATTTAATCTGACCTGGCCGTGTTTGATGTAACCTGATCTTATGTGATTTGACCTGATTTGACTTGATTTGATGTGATTTGACCTGATTCGATGTGATTTGACCTGATACAATCTGATGTAATCTGGCTGTTTATGATATGACCTGACTTGATCTGATATGATTTGACCTGACTTGATCTGATGTGATTTAACCTGATCTTATGTATTCTATTCTGACCTGATATAATTTAAACATACCTGATCTGTGACCAGACATGATCTGATGTGACCAGACATGATCTGATGTGACCAAATATGATCTGATGTGATCTGAACTGATCTGATGTATTCTGATGTGATCTGACCTGAAATGATGTGATCTGTGATATGGCTTGATCTGTGATATTATCTGATCTGATGCGATCTGACTTGATCTCATGTAATCTGACCTAAATAATATCTGACATGATATGATATATGAACTGATATGATGTGATCTAACCGTATTTGATGTGACATATTCTGAACTTAAGTGATTTGACCTGACCTGATATGATTTGATAGGATCTGACTTCATGTGTGATATGAAGTGACCGTTTATGACGTGACCTAACTTAATCTGATATTTGACCTGACTTGATCTGATATGATTTGACCTGACTTGATCTGATGTGATTTAACCAGATCTTATGTATTCTATTCTGACCTGATCTAATTTAAACATCAGACCTGATGTGATGTGACCATACATGATCTGATGAGTCCAGACACGATCTTATGTGATCTGACCTGAAATGATGTGATCTGTGATATGACCTGATCTTATGTAATCCAACCTGATCTGACCTAATGTAATGTAATATGAGCTTATCTGATGTGATACTTGATCTCATGTGGTCTGACCTGATCTGAAGCAATCTGACCTGATTTAATGTGGCCTTCCCTGATCTAATGTCATTTGACCTAATCTGATATCTTTTGACCTCCTCTGATATGATCTGACCGTATTTGATGTGATATGAACTGATCTGATGTAATCCGACCTAATCTGATGTGATCTGACCTGATCTGATGTAATCTGGCCTGATCTGATGTGACCTGACCGGTATGATCTGACCTTATCTGATGGAATCTGACCTGCTCTTATATAATTTTATGTGATCTGACCATATTTTATGTGACCTGGCCTGATTGATTTGACCTTACCGATGTGATATGTTGTGATCTGACATTATCCGATTTAATCTGACCTGATCTGATGTGATCTGGCTGTATTTGAAGTGACCTGATCTGATATGATTTGACTGATCTAAAGTAATCTAACCTAATCTGATGTTATCTGCCCTGATATGATATATGACCTGATATGATGTGTTCTGACCCGTTTTTGTGTGATCTGACCTGATCTGGTGTGATTTGACCAGATCTGATGTTATTCAACCTGGTCTGATGTAATCTGACCTGATCTAATGTATTCTGACTTGATCTGATTTAATCTGACTCGATCTCGTGTGTGTGTGTGTGTGTGGCCGTTTTTGGATGTGATCTAATGTGATTTCACCTAATCTGGTGTGATCTGACTTCATTTAAAGTATGATAATGATTGTTGATCATGATAATTATTGATTAAGAAGATTGTTGATGATTGATGATGATGCACAATTTTTATCAAACTTTCTAATCAATACACTCCATGCATACAGCACAAATATAATATACATAATCAGGCAACGGCCACGACTTCAAAAGTTCGAAACGCATAGATAAGCTGCATTTCATCTGTACACAAGAAAAGACAAAAGTTTTGTCAATACTTACCCTTATATCCTTAGAGAGTTGACAAATCTCGTATATTTAAAATACAAAACAACGCTGCAGCATTAAAGACTACTTGAACCATTGCATACTATCTTCACGACAATCCTGGAGCTTAAATCTATTCAAAATCCACAAATAAACAGACGTCATGTGTCCCGTCGCAGGGCTGGTCGCTTATCCTTAGGAGCATTTCCGCCGTTTTCTATGAACATCAGATGAGAAAGAAAACGGAAGTAAATAATGGTACTGAACCATAGACTATCATAAACGGATGAATATTATCTTACAGGTAACTCTTTCTATGGTAAGATAAACGATAATAGCGTAAGACAACAGTTATTTAAAAGAAAATTTAATCTACTGTTTCCTTCTTTTAAGGGGCTAAAAGGGTAGTCCGAGCTCATATTCAGAGACACTTAGGTTGGGTTGCAGCTAACGGTAATTGGTTGTTCCCTCACTCCCTGGGGTAGTGGGCCGCATAATAGGGATAATTTTTTGGCATAAATCTCAATTAAATGGGGTATTTCTTTCATTTTTCTCCCGAGAGTCAAGAAAAAAGGGGTCCACCCGGGTCAACAACACTATCCTTTGGATATGTTAGATATTCTCATAAATCAACATAAATTATTGACACCTCATTTGCTTCTGCCTTTGAATCCAATACACATGTCCTGCCTATAACTCCAAGAGTCACTCGTGGCACTTTTAGTAGCAACAGCAATTAAATTCTGCTGTTTCTTGAGCAGCAGAATCCCTTTCTGTTTCTTGCCCTATGACCCTGTTGACTGAATATGTTTGTTTTATTGCACTGTACCCTGTCAGTCCTGAGATAAGGTATATTTTCATCAAGCTTGAACAAAGAGGGTGAAATAACTGAAAATTTTCGCGAAGAACCTGAGAAAAGGGGGATTTAAAAATGATAGTTCTTCCTGAGATAAGGGTGGTTTTTCAAAAGTGATTAACAAGCATAGGTACCCCCGAAAATGGCAGAGTAAGGGGTGGGGGCGTCTGTCTCACTGCTGGTCGTATTCGAAGTCTAAAGGCAAATGTGTAGGGTCAGAGTTTGATGAATATGGGATTCCTTGCCTCACGCTCTTGTTCGTTGTGTTCCTCGCTACAACGGCGGAAGAATTTTTCGTTGTTAGTGTTTTCTTCACTATTACCCATATGATCATCACTATCAGTGTGTGAGTCAGTCTCTTGTGCTCCTGGAATTATATTAACTGGCTACAGGTCTTCTGCATGGAAAATCTATTCGTTTGGTTAATTATTTCTTTGATTTCTTTCCGTCTTTACTAGAGAGAGAGAGAGAGAGAGAGAGAGAGAGGGAGAGAGGGAGAGGGAGAGGAGAGAGAGAGAGAGAGGAGAGAGAGAGAGAGAGAGAGAGAGAGAGAGAGAGAGAGAGAGAGAGAGAGAGAGATGTATTTTGGACATATTTATATTGCAAAAGATCATTTAAATGTATTTATTTTAAAAATGTATCATGTTTTTCCATTGCACTGCATAAAACAATATACAATAACTACATTGTGTAAGCCAATTATGTAACATTCAACAACATAAAATGCACCCACATCTCTTTCTAGAAAATCTAGTAAATGTATAATTTGAGAAAGTGCGATATTGAACCTGTAGACTTATTTTATCTAAAAAGTATACAACTATTCATAGCGCGTATGTTGCAAGGATGAAGGTTTAAAGTCACTTTATGGGATTGTGGCTCTCTTTGGTGATGCCCAGCTGGAAGGTTCAGTTGAAGTGACGTCAAATGAAATTTCCGTCATGATGGTTCCAACATTTTAAATATTCAGTTTAACTGATCATGGAAAAATATTTCAATATTGCTTCGAATACCTTTTATTTGCACCAAAC